CCACGATGTGCAATCCAGGGTTTCATACCCTCAGGACAACATTTACAATCACTACTCACCTCGATTCGGTCCAAACTCTAGCCTGCGATGCCTTTTCCCTCATGAATTGACCTCTGGATGCTCCAAATCTAGCCACAATTAGTACATAACCATTAGAATATGCTAAGGGAACAAAGCTCACTCAAAAATATCCAATTTACATCAAAAATCCCAAAATTGCTCAAACTCGGCCCCTGGGCCCATGTCTCGGAATCTGACGGAATTAACATCAATGGAATCCTCATCCTCTCACGAGTTCATACATATCAAGAATACCAAAATTCGACCTCAAATGGCCCTTCAAATCTTCACTCAAAGGTCTCTTAATCTCAAACCCTAATTACCTATTTTTCTCTATTGATCATTTCAAGCTTAACAATGTTAAAATTCATCATAAAAACAAGTTTAGGGTCCAAAAATCTTACCTCCATGAAACCCTCTTGAATTCCCTCTATAATTAGCTCTCCAAAGCTTTTTCCCTAATGAAATATGGTGAAAACCCACTCAAAATCGCGAAGGGAACCTTTTATACTTTCTGCCCCAGGCATTATCGCATCTGCGGTCCTTTTCACGCTTTTGCGGCTAATACACCGCATCTGCGCATTTCCACTTAAATGACCATTTTCGCATCTGCGGTTTAAACATCGCACCTATGTTACTGCAGGTGCGCCCACTTCACCGCTTCTGCGGTTCCTGAAGAACTTCATCTTGGTCGCATCTGCGGCTTCCTTCCGCTTCTGCAAGCATCGCACCTGCGGCCTCCCAACTGCAGGTGCAGTTATTGTAGCTGCTAAAATGCTTTAGCTCCCAAACTCCACTCCAAACATTCCGCCAACCATCCGAAACCACCCCAAGGGCCCCCGTGTCCTCAACCATAAGTACATACACATCATATACCACTACTCAAACTTGTACCAATCTTCAAAACGCCTCAAACAACATCGAATAAACCAAATCACATCGAATTCAAGCCTAAGGTTCCAAAATTTTCCGAATTACGCTTTTGATCAAAAGGTCTATCAAAACATACCCGAATGACCTGAAATTTCGCACACACGTCATAAATAACACAATGAAGCTACTGCAACTTCCGGAATTCCATTCCAACCCCTGTATCAAAATCTCGCATATCAACCGGAAAACGCCAACATTCCAATTTCGCCAATTCAAACCTAAACCTTCCGTGGGCTTCCAAAATACATTCCGACCACGCTCCTATGTCTCAAATCACCTAACAGAGTTAACCAAATCATAAAAATTTTGATCCGAGATCATATGCCAACAAGTCAAAACTTGGTCAAATCTTTCAAATTTAAACTTCAAACTGAGGACTGTTCTTCCAAATTCATTCCGATTATCCTAAAAATCAAAACCAACGATTTACATAAGTCATAAAATATCACACGGGGCAAGTCATGCCCTAGAACTGACGAGCAAAGTACAAAATCTCATATATATATATATATATATATATATATATATGAAATCTTGCAGAGTTTGGATGGGAAAGTGATTTGAGTAAATGTTGCTGATGATAGATTCGGATGCAGCTATTGAGTCTTTCAAAAATTTTGTTAGGTGTTTCTATTTATGCTTTTCCTGTAAGTTTTGGATCCCTAATTGCAAATTTCTTCTAAGATAATGTGTTTATTGATTTTTTCCCCTTTGATTTGCTTTCTTGGAGCGTTAGATTTGTGGATGAATGTCTATGACCGGCGAAGTTCGCTTTCACTTGCATGTTAAATTGTTGTTTCTTTTAAGTTGTAGTGTGCTCAAGTAGCTAGATGAAATCTATAAATATAGATCACTTCAGAGTATTTTAAGTATACCCTTTGGTTATTAACTGCCTTCTAGGTGCTCGACCTTTTGCCTCACCAGAATTTGCTCATATTTACTCTCAAAAGTTGTATGCTCAGTATCTAAATAACTATCTTTCTTTTCGTTTTTTTAATATTTATTTTGTGGAATAATCTGTATTTCATACTTCATTTTACATATATAAGAACTAACAAAAAGATGTTGCAATTTGATATTTTCTACAATAAAATAGAATTAGAGCAACTGAAGATTCAACACTATTTCTTAGTTTTATTCCATTATACTCATCAAGTTAATCCCTTATGAACAGTTCTTCGATATCACCTTGTAAGGAAGACTACTAAGATACTTGAAGCAGAATATAGAATAGTTTGTTGAGACACTAAAGGTAGGTCGTGTTGACTACTTACTGCTGCTCGAATTTTACTACCACTAAGCACTTCTTTCTAATGCTTCAAAAGAAAAATACTAGAGTCTCTAGTGTACTTTGGAAAGATTGATATATCATGAGTTTGTAGGAGACTATTGAGACCAAAAAAATACTTTGCAATAAGCTATCAATTTTTAACAAGTAATTCAACATTTTTTACTGCCGTTTGAACTTTATTGTCACTGAGCACTTTACTGTTTAGTACTTCAAAGAAATCTCTAGAGTGTACTAAGTAAAAATCAAATATATCATGAGTCTAGGAGAGGATAGAGTACTTGAGGTATATGACTTGTTCAAGCCACGTCTATGTGGGAAATGAACGTTCAATAAAAGGGTAAAGTGGTTGAGGTTTTTATGTGAATTTTCTGTTTGTCTAGTTTCTCAAGGTTCAAACTTTATTGTACTAGAATTTGTTTTCTTGAGAAAGATTTTGACAACTATTGCGTAGGTGCTATTTGAATAGTAATTGTTTTTCTTTTTCAATTTAATGTGTTTAACTGGATCAAATTGCTTTTAAGTCACGCCAGATCTTGTTTCTAAAATTTAAATTTTTCTTTGATTTGAATATAATCATATTAATACCTCATTTCCTATTTATTTGCAGGCTCATATTAAAAAGATTATGCAAGCTGACGAGGATTTGCGGAAGATTGCCATGGTTGTCCCTCTTTTATTCTATAAGTGCTCTTGAAATGACAAAGTTCATCGAACTAATTTAATATCTTTTAGTTCGTATTTGGTATACGAAGAATGTTCAAAGAAATCACGATGGTATGACACTTTGGCATGTTTCATTGATAAGGCCTCGAAAATATACATTATCCTGTAGATTATGATCAGTTCACGCTAAGGAGTTTAAGTTGTCTTATTTGATTTAACAAACTTATATGGTAACAAAGTTCGAATAATACAAAATGCTCATTGTATTTCTTCTTCCCATTATGATACCTACTGGACTATTTTTGGGACCCATAACAATGGAACGGAGGGTCGTTTTTGATGAAGCATTTCTTAGCCTACTTATAGAAATTTTAAGAGAAGAATAGAATACATTATAATATTTTATACAATTGTGGTAGAAGAAATACATACACAACAACAACAACAACAACAACAACAACCCAGAATAATCCCACTTAGTGGGGTCTGGGGAGGGTAGTGTGTACGCAGACCTTACCCCTACCCTAGGGTAGAGAGACTGTTTCCAAATAGACCCCCCCGGCATCCTTCCCTCCAAGAACTTCCCACCTTGCTCTTGGGGAGACTCGAACTCACAACCTCTCGGTTGGAAGTGGGGGTTGCTTACCATCAGAGCAACCCCTCTTGTCCTAAGAAATACATACACAATTCAAGCTAATTAAGAAATGTCATAAGAGAAAGGATACTCATCATTTATCGCATTTGGGAAATAGTATCTGTTAACTTAGCATGTTATCTAAGTAGGTATCTGTGAAATATATAGACAATAATCGACAGTTAAAATAAGAATATTACATCTGTACAAAGTTCCCATGAATTGCAGACTTTGATCTAAGTATTTTGGATTTCTTATTAAATCTTGACTTCTACTTCCCTCCACATTTTACTGAACTTAACTTTGAGGCAACACAAAACCTTTGCTTTGTGTAGACATTCTTGGTTTCTTATGTATAAGTTTTATTGTATGGCTGAAGCAATAAATCTGTGTATAGGCCCCCTTTAGTTTTCTTTATCTTGTCGAATGTAGATGTAGTTAATTATTTGAATTTGTCTACTACTTTATACTGATAGTAATCTTGCCTAGAATAAATTGAGCAGCTTTTTCGATTATCCATACTGAAATTTAGTTGCTTAATTGGGAGTGCAAAAAAGAGGAATATCTTAGAAAAGTTTTATGTCAATAGGTGAGTATTGGACTTCTAATTTTAACTTTCCTTTTTGTTTCTTACTGTCTATTTAAACAGTTGTCTATTCTGCTAATTTTACCAATTATAGAGAAGCCTTTCTCTTCTTAACTTTTGAAAATATATAAGCGTGCCAAAAATATATTTCTTTTTGAGAGTTTGGAAGTTGATAATGAAAATTGGAAAGAACAAAGGAAGAGGTAAAAGATATGCTATTACGAATATGTAAATGTCACATGATTATTTTCTTGACTGTTAAAGAATTTCACATATGGTTGTATGTTCGATATTCATTTTATTTTATCATTTCAGGTTATACATTTTGATATTCAGGAATTTGGCATTTGGCAACCTTCATTATGATCAAGAGCAGGCGAATTTTGTGCGGCTTATTTTCTAGTTAATAACACAAGTTATCAAAAGCTGACACTAGTAATTAGATTCAAATTGTTTAGCTTCTTTATCATATTATCGATATTTTGAACTTGTGAATTAGTAATTATTTTTGTTTGATGTGGATTTAATGAAGTGCATTATGCATTTTGAAATGAATTATTATTATTTACTTTTAATTGCAGTAAGAAAAGTTGTTAAAATGTCTTCCTATATGGTAGTAAGATAACTTTACACTAGCTAAAACAAAAGTCCTTAATTATGTAAAAGAAGATGAATGTAACACCCTCACACATTTGGATTAGGTATGAATGAGTTAAAGGAGTAGAAAAGTTATATTTTGGATATATGAAGTCCTATTGGGATGATTATAGGTGAAAATAGTTGTTTCAAAATCAATATGGAAAGTGAGATGCATAAGATTCGACAAATACTATAAAAAAATGGGTAAATTGCAGATGTTTATTTGCGGAGGGTATAAGTAACCTCCGTAATTTGCATAATTTCGTAACCCTAAAATAATAGGGGCTAATTTATTTCACACTCCCTCCAATTTTTGCCCAATCTTTTTCACCCTAGAAACTTTCGCCTCAACAAAATACTCCCACCGCTTCTTCATTAATCAAGTTCTTCAACAAAATACTCCACCTCCAATTTGAAGAATACATTGGTTCTTCCCCCATCATATGAAAGTGTTTCACTTGATTCAATAGTCTAATTTGACTTTTATTTAGGAGATCGATTGCGAGTTTTCCAACTGCAAAAGCGCAAAATATTGATTGATTTTCAGGTATTTTAATTGATAAATCTTGCATTTTTCTACAAGTATACTTGAATCTCCACTTGAAGGCAAAAAATCTGTTGCATGAATGTGCCATTAACATCTAGTCGGTTGCTGGTATTGTTTATAGAATTAGGCGCAACCAGTAAGTTTTATTTTCTGATGTTTTCATTCTTTAGGGGGTAAGAATATGTAATAATGTAGTTGTGTCAAACTGGAGACATTTTAGTGAATACAATTTGGCTTCTTGAGCTTAAAACTGTAAAATTTATATTATATAGTTAAAAAGAATTAATTGAATTTTGGTGAACATTTCTTTGAGTCATTCCCAATGCTTTACGTTCTTCATTTTTAGTTCTATCTGATTCTAAAGGTGAATGAGATCTTTGATTTCTGTATGGTTTTCATACCAGATATTTCTTATTTGAAGTCCAGAAATTTATAGGAACTTTCCTTTATGTATAGTGTACATTTCTCTCCAGAAATCTTTTGGTTTTAAGTCCAAAAGTTTATGTCATTTTCCAAGAATCACACACTTTTGGTAAACTGAGACTGCTGCATTGGTGTTGTGGAAAGCTGATGTGATATTCTACAGTGTCTAAGCTGATGTTACATTTGAGTATAGGGTTAGCCTCAATCTAAGTTGATGGGAATTTGATTTTTTCTGTGCGATTTGAAGTTCTTTTGATGCTAGGGTGCTGTAAAGGTGATAGCGAAAGATCTTATAAGGATGAGGCATCAGATTGAAAATTTTTACAAGCTTAAATCCCAACTTCAAGGTGTCTCGCTCAGAATTCATGTACTTATGAAATTTGTACTTCTTATTGGTTAGTTCTTCAAAATTGCTGTTGTTCATGAGAATAAGCACCTTGTTATATGTGGATTGTTTGTACCACAAGCTTACTACTTTATAAAATTGTATTCCTTGATTTTAATCCTGAACAGTCCCTTTAGTAACTTTTGCAATTTTGACATCTAGTTTTTGACTCTACTTCAGGAAAATTGTTGTAATATATTGGTGTTAAGTAAATAGTTGTCTACTCACTCTATATTTTTGTTGGTTGAGTTGGTATATACATACATGGAAGTTGCTATGACATCTGTTTGGTAGAGTGAAGGTTTTAGGAAACACAACTACTGCAAAAATTATGTAGCAGAAAATTTGTTGTATGAGTTAATTTTTTTAATAATATTTACGTAGTTTATATGGTATTCTGTCATTATTAATCATAGAAAATGGCATTACCCTTAGTTGCTAAAGAAATGTATTTGTTGAAACAACGCCAAAAAACAAAAAAAATGTTTAAAGCAAGCAACTAAAAACAAGCAAAGAGATATTTTTCATGTTTCTTGTTTTGTCAATTACTCCCCAACTAAAACAGGAAGCGAAATAACTAGTTCGACATGAACCTTAAAAGTCAGGACTCGTGTTTATAAAGATCAAGTGTTATGACTTGACTATGAATTCAGACAGAAGAGTTTAAGTTTTACATTGTCATATTTTCACAATTTGACAATGTAAATGTTTAGATTATATACACAGACAATATGTACGATCTGCTATTATGGGATAAACACATAAACTACACTGATAAAAGGGGTAGAAATAGTATCATAGCCTTCGATTCCTGTTTAACACATTCTGATGAAAGGGTTAAGCCATTTCGACAATTCAATAGCAAATGTGACTCCAAAACTGGGTGTAACTTGACTGTGACTATGCAAATGCATTATTTGTTATGGGATCTTCAAGTTTAGTAGTGTTTATGATTATAGATGGCTTTTGTTGTATGTATTTATTGCTTTATGGTTAATATTCTCTATTCTAATAATAGAGAACTAATATTTTCTCTTTATATTTTGTAAGGTTCATCAGTTGCACTTGAAAGTTAATACTTTTCTATGGATAAATCTTGGATTAGAAAGCCAAGGAATACAACAGAATATTTGTTTGGTTTAAATCAATTTTTAGATTTTGCATTTGCTAATGCTGTTGTTGGATATAGAATAAAATGTCCTAGTCCTTAATGTCGATTCGGAAAGTGGCAAACTAAAATTTATGACCATTGAGGAAGTTGCACGAGGATATGTTTATCGCTCTATTTCAAAGAAGTGGGCAGCAAGTAGGCAGAAGTTGTGGTATGAGTTTAAAGACCCTCTTAAAACCAATGATGAGATTATGGATAATGTTCCGGTAGATATTACTCGGGAACAATGGACTTCCTTTGTGAACTACTGTTATAAAGAAGAAACTTAGGTATTTTTATGAAACATCATATTGAAATGCATAAAAATATGATTATTCATTTATATAATTTACTGAAATGTATATTATTGTTAGAACATGTGTAAAAGATATTAGAAAGCTTTTATCTGCTGTAGGCAGTCCTTCACAGTTCTTATGTTGAATTGGTATCATTTTATTTACTTCTTCATATATCTTTTTAAAATTTCCTCTAGTTAAGCTACTCCATACCTTTATTTCCTTAAAACACGTTCTGGAGAAACAATCTTTAGATGCTTCTCAAAAGAAACAATCTTCAGATAGAAAACTATAGTATTATATCCTCCTTAGAACTATAGTACTATTGTTGACTAATTTTTCCCCTCCTTCATCCTCCAAAAGATAATGCCCTTTTTCTGTTGTTGTTAGTCTGTATGATTGGTTATTGTACAAGTCCCGTTTTAGCAGTTAAATTTAGGGATCATATAGCTAAGAAAGATGTTTGTCGGTTACTTCACAAGTTCACATAAACTGCGCCCTTGATATAATCTATAAGTAGTTTTGCATAGGTTTACAATTTTAGATTCTTATCTAGCTTTACATCATACTTTGATGGATGGGCGTCATAGTGAAAAGTCAAAAAACTAAGCGGACTTTCATCGATCGATCAACCATGCCTCAAAAGGCAAGCTCAACAAGCTGCTTTCTTCCCATATTTCTTACATTTCTTGAAAATGCTTAGTCTATGGCATGGTGGATTAGTTGATTTCCTTTGATTGAAGTCTTCTGCAAATATTAAATGTATAATAGGGGAATAGGATTGTGTTTTAAACAACAGCTCCTCAGTTCCATAAATCTCCGGGCTAAGAACAATTAATACATTATTCTTTGTTATTTTAAGAGTCATACTTCTACATTCATATTATTTTTACCCTTCCATTCTAAGAGAAATTCTGAACTTCTTTATCTGCATTTTCTCGTGAGAATAGCTTGCTTCTAGCTTTATTTTTTGCAATTTTCTGTGTGTATGTGCTTGTTGTTTCTCGCCTCTCTAAGCTCATTGTCCATTTAGAATTGTATAAAGGTCTATGCTGCCACTAATTTGGCCAACTGAATTGGGTAACACAGTAAGTGTATTTGCTTTAGGTAGGAAGAAGAAAGCATTATAGTGTTGATATGTCCTATGGGTAATAGAAAAAGGACTCAACTTGTTAAGACTATATGGTGTCATCAACAATGCACTTTTGTTTTCCTTTCAAGAGTTTATGTGTATTAGCTTCAATACTCATTGCAACTGCTTGATGCAGACAACATATATTTTATCTCAATGACTTGTATACTCCTCTTAATACTTGTGCTTTTTAAATACTTTTTGCTTAACCTAAGGGATGCAGCTAGTTGACCCGTTTCACCGGCGGATGCAAGAAGATCTTCTGGCGCTAGTAATCCCAGTGACCATTGAGTTTCATTTTAAATGAAGTGGATGTATTAAGACAATGTAATAGCTTACTAATATAGACGGTTAACTATGTTCTAATTTAGCTTGATGACATATGATACTAATTATGTTCTAATCTAGCTTGATGACATATGATACTACTTTGTCATAGTATTTTTCACGGTTAATGAAATGTTGATGTTTCTTAATTTTAATGTTTTGGTTTAAGCATAAATATTTTAATTGATATTAGGAAAGGGGTATGGCAAATTGATGATAAAAAATCAATTCTATAATATATTTAGAAATAAATATGGATAATTAAAACCCCCAAAGAGAAATTGATCAGATCCTAGGGTGTACCCATAAGAAATTACGGGGGTTTACAACCCCCATACTCAAAAAAATATTAAATTTTAAAAATAATAATCTACTTTCACGTATGAAATTGCAGACATTAAAATTGTAGTTTGCGGAGGTTAGAAACCTCCGCTATTTGCTGTCACGGCGGTTCGGGAAACCCCTGCATTTATCAGCCGCAAATAATAGCGGCGATGCTTACTGTGGTGGTGTGCTCAACCGCCGTGATAGTAAATAGCGGAGGTTTATAACCTTCGCAAACTGCAATTTTAACCTCCGCTATTTACCCATTTTTTTGTAGCGAAAATCGACTAAACTTGCAGAATGTCCGTATTCCAGTAGAGTTTAGTAAAAATGTATAAGAAATTTGGGAAGATTTAAAGCATTAAAGTTGTAGGCCATTGAAATAGCTTTCCAACAATATATTGTGGAGCCCAAACAGAGCTCTGTGCAAAAGGTTATGCCCGTTTTACAGAATGGTGTGTAACCACCGCGGTCCTGCCGCGTTTCACCGCGACCGCGGTGGTAGGCAGTGTCCCAGCGATTTGCCACGGTCGGGACCGTGGTCACGCCTACTTGGATGCGGTGGACGACTTGGGAAGTCGTTTTTAGCCCTATTTCGTCCCCCACAGCCCCAAATATAAAAACTTGCCCCAGAAAGGAAAGCTCTTAAAAACCTAACTCCTTAAAGGTCCCTCCACCACCCAAGGTAAGTTCTAATGGTAATTCTAAGTTAATTTCGATTTCCCAACATCTTATTAACATGGGTAAACCCTCCATATCGTTAGATATCCGATGGGGACATCATTATTGAGAGAAGAAACCCAAGAACTCAAATTCTAGAAGATTGAACGTCAAAAAGGTAATATCTTCACCCTCTAATTGATTCTATCATTGAATTAATGGTTATAGACTCTAGTTCATGAGAAAATATGAGTTGATGGGTTTGATAGAAAAGCATGAATGGTTATAGGTTTGGGCTGTTGATTATTGATTATTGGTTAAGGGTGTTGTTTACCTTATGGGTGATAAAGAATAATGTTGATTATAACCATTTGAGACTTTAGAATTTATTTAGGAGCAAGGGAATGAGTTATTGGATGTAGAAACACCATTAATAAGGACTATGAATCTTTATGCCACCAAGTGTTTGAGAAAATGCCTAAGTGACCAAAACATGAGTATTATTGATAATATAGAATCTCTTTGACTTGTATTGATATAAATTCAAGTTTAAAGGATTGGCAAATGTTGTATTATGCTCAAGAGCAGGAAGTTAAGGTATGTGAGGCTAACTCTCTATGTTTGGGAATGTTAATGATTTTCCCTACACTATGTTTCTTTTACGACGTATCGATTGCCTCAAAAATATAGTTAAGCCTAGTTCTTTGAATAGTTGTAGAACTTCTATTCTCTAACTTCATAACTCGTTCATGACTTTCATTCTGAACGTTGTGAGCTCAGTTCGTATTCAATATAGACTTGGGTTTGATGTCCCTAAGTCTCAGTATAGCTTACTCAGCGTGTCATAAACAGTTGAAGTTTCAGTGTTCCTAATCAGTTCAAGAATACATGTCTCATTCTAGTCCTATTCAGTATTCCAGTATTATGTAACTTAGTATGATTCAATATTCCAGTATTATGTACTCAGTGTGATCCAGTATTCCAGTATTATGTAACTCAGCATGATTCAGGATTTCACTAATATATACTGCAGTATGATTCTCAATTCCTAATTTTAAATCTCTAAATGTCGAACACCTGTATTTGGGCCTGAGGCCGCAGTTTATGCTTTATGCATCTTTGGACCTGAGGCTGCAGTTTATGCTTTATGCATTTTGGACATGAGGTCGTAGTTATGTATACATATACTTAGGCCCGAGGCCGTTGTTGTGCGCGCACACATACACACACATACACACACATATATATATTGGGCCTGAGGCCGCAGTTTAATATTCAAATAAACAGGTTGTTCATCATTCAGAAGAGGGAGTATTTATAACCTTACTTCCTTTGTTCAGTTC